CCCAACCAGGGGCTGCACCTAGGGATTGGGCCTGCCCTCTGCCACCCGGGAGCAGGCCTAAGCCAGCAGGTCATTATCTCCCGAGGGGCCCCAGACTGCGAGAGGGCACAGGCCGGGCTGAGGGACACCCCCTCCCCCATGTGCACAAATTTTTGTGCACCGGGCCTCTAGTAATTTTATAATAATCTAATAACAGAAAAGAGGCAATCTCTAATTTACGCAAATATTTTCCTTCCTAATCTTCAATTCTTTCCCCTTTCATTCATGAGGCAGTGTATCTGAAATACACAGAACATAAAACAGTCAGCACTCAGAATATGTGCTGAACTCATGTCAACTCAAATGATTTTCTTTCTTTCTTTACATATATTCTAGAGGCCCGGTGCACGAAAATCGTGCATGGGTGGGGTCCTTAGGCCTGGCCAGCGATCAGGGCCAGGCCGATTGGGGCCTGCCGGCCAGGGCGAGAAACAGAACACAGACGGTTGACCACCAGCCCCAAGGAGGGAGCTGGCCCTCGGCCCCTCTGGGAAAGGGGCCACGTCCACCACCACCCACCCCGGTAGGGTCGGGAGAGGAGGTGATGGTCACAAGGCCAGGTACAGGAGGAATGGACACCGGCACCCTGTCACCACGTGGTTCCCTGCCTCCCCCCCTTCTCCTCTTCCCTCACTGTTGCACCACCACCGCAGCAAGCGGGTGGCGGGCCGATCGGGGCCTGCCGGCCGGGGGAGAAACAAGGCATGGGAGTTTGGCCACAGACCCCAAGTGGGGAGCCGGCCCTCAGCCCCCCTGGGAAAGGGGCCGTGTCCACCGCCACCCTCCCCTGATTCCTCATCCTAGCCCGGGGCCCAACCCCAATCAGACCATCGGGGCCTGCCAGCCGGAGGGGAAAGACAGCAGGAGGTTGGCTGTGGGAGTACACTGACCACCAGGGGGCAGCTCCTGCATTGAGCGTCTGCCCTCTGGTGATCAATGTGCATCATAGCGACCAGTCATTTGGTCATAACAGTTGCTTAGACTTTTATATATATAGATTTTTATTAATTTTTTTTTACAGAGAGGAAGGGAGAGGGAGAGATACAAACATTGATGAGAGAGAAATATCGATCAGCTGCCTTCTGCACACCCCCTACTGGGAATCAAGACCGCAACCAAGGCACATGCTCTTGACCAGAATCAAACCCAGGACCCTTCAGTCTGTGGAGCAACACTCCATCCGCTGAGGCAAACCAGTCAGGGCTCAAATGATTTTCAAAGGCTAGTCTAGCAGCTTATTGCCCAGCTGCCAGATATCTCCTGAGGGCTTCTTCTCAGCTGTCCCTGGCTTCTTTCTGTTTGCATTTCCTTAGCTCTCTTTCTCACATATTTTCTTCAACATGGAGTATCCTCCATCTCTTTCCCAAAAGGTGTCTCAATTCAGCATGTAAAAAAAATTCAAAACTAAAATAAAAATGTTATTTTCTCAGTGTCTTTTCCCCCAGGATTGACTGCTTAAATTTCAAATGGAAGGGCTGTTCTTGTTTTAAGTTAGAAAACTGGACACAGCTTTTGTTTTTCATCGTAGATGGCTGATATTGTTTTTAATTTTGTTATTTTTTTTATTTGGAAATTCAATAGGTTTATTAGTTATTTAAGACAAAATAATGAGAATGTGTATGAATTTTATGCAGGACCCCTAATCCTTATAAAACCTTCTGGAAGTAGGCTAGTGTTGTAATTAAACTTGTCAAGAAACCCAAGGTTATAGAGCAATAAATAGTATATAGAGCAAAAGATACTAATGTTGCCCAGCCAGTGTGGTTCAGTGATTGTCAACCTGTGAACCAAGAGATCACAGTTTGATTCCAGGTCAGGGCATATGCTCAGGTTTTGGGCTTAATCCCCAGTAGGGGGCTTGCAAGAGGCATCCAATCAATCATTCTCTCTCATCATTGATGCTTCTATCTCTCTCCCTTTCCCTCCCTCTCTGAAATCAATAAAAAACATATCCTTTTTAGAAAGATACTAATGTCAAGTTTAACCAATCAGTATTCCAGAAATAAAGGCGTAGACTGTGAATTTATGTTGGTACCATTACGTGCAGCTATTGTATAGTTTTCTTCAAGCTACACTTGAAGAAGGCTGGCAAATCTCAAGGGAGCAGAGGATGTGAGCAAGACAGTGGCTGAAGCAATAAAGAGTTGAGTGTCTAAGTGTTTTACATGTATTGTTTCACCTATCCTTAAACTTGGGAGAGGTAGTCTTCGCTTTTATAACTGAGACTCAATGACATAAAGGGACTTGGTTTAGGTCATGTACCTTAGAAACTGAAGAGGAGATATTCACACCCAGGTTGGTCTTAAAAGGGAGAATAGCCTTGATTGGTAACACTTAGAGTTAATAGTGTGAATACTCCAGCAAGCCCATCTCAAGCTGCCAGATGTGAAGTGTGATGGCTTTGTTAGCAAGAACTGCTTTGTAGGGCTCCTGTGTTTGCTACTGTGTTAGCAAGGACTGGCTGCTGTGTTTGCAATGATTGTCCTGTGTGTAAATGGCTGCTTGGTCTGCAATAAAGTCTCTCCTATATGCCTGCAGCTACTCATGTCTTCCAGTTCCTGGCGTCCACGGAGGTCCAGTCCCTAGCATGGGGCTTCGACCCAACAATTGACATGGACAACACCTGCACAGTACACTCGCAGCTGCGGCAAGCCAGCTTCAGCACACCAGGGCCTAAGCACTCAGCTAAGGAAAAACAGAATTTTCCCAGAGTTTCCAATTAGTTCACTGATTGATAAACTATTTAAATGTTTTCAGAATGCATCTGGTAGCCTTATGTATTATATAAATTCTTCAATTCATATATTTATGTATAGTGCTGCAGATTTTATGTCATAACAAAATACATAATTTTAGACTTAGAAAGAGTATTACTATAAAACATTTTTACATTTGCCCTGGCCAGGGTGGCTTAGTTGATTGAGCGTTGTCCTGTGCACTGAAACGTCACTGGTTCGATTCCTGGTCAGGGCACATGCCCAGGTTGTGGGTTTGGTCCCTGGTAGGGGTGCATGTGGGAGGCAACCAATCAGTGTTTCTCTCTCACGTCGATGTTCCTTTTTCCCTCTCCCTTCCTCTCTCTCTCAAATTAATAAAACATTTTTTAAAAGATTATGTTCTTCAAAAGTAGCATAATTAATTAAAATGAAGTAGCTTAAACCAGAACAATATACAGTTTAACAGCAATTAAGTTTATAATATTTCAGCCTCAGATAAAGCCTGAAGAAAAAAAGGAAAGGAACTAGTTATTCAAGTTCTTATACCATATTTTCTATTTTCTAATTCATTGTACAGTTATTTGCAAGTAAAGCATTCTTTTAACAATCCTGATAAGAAAAACATTGAATGTTATCAGAGTATACAATATAGTGAAACAAAGGATGAAGCATATCAGTAGATTTTGTTGATCCATCAGTCCAAACCTGAAATGCTTCAAGTTTTGGATAAAATTCTGCTGACCCAAAAAGAAACATAGCACTAATAAATATGTGTATCAAATACATTTAAACTTTCACTTGTCACAGATAGAAGCATAAAATCAAACTCCTCCTCATGCTCCTAAGGTTTGGGGGATAAGTGGCAGCTTTCTTTCCTCTGTATTGGACTGTCTCTTTCACCCCGTGTATTCCTATTCTTTCAATTTGTACATTTCTTAGGAAGCTGTTGATGACAGTTGGATCAAAGTGTCATCTATTTTTATAAAAGTTTTTTAAAAAGAATGTTGAGTCACATAAACATACGTTCTTATCCAAAGGTTATAAATATTTTTTGGTAAATCTAAGCTTTGATGCAAAGCCATTCATTGATTACATTGATCAAATTTGGTATCTGAAAACTATGAGGAACCATTAGTTATTATTATGATTCTAAAAACAGTATCCCAACTGAATTTTAAGTCTCTCTGATTATTGGCAATTTTTCCATATTGGAAAAATACTGTTTTCTACTTTTTTAAGTCTTTAAGTTTGTCAGAATGTATGTTGCCAAGTAGAATGTGTGCAAACAAACCAACTATGGGGAGTCATATTGAAGCAGGTGTTGGACTTACCTAGCTGATCCACTGCCACAGTCCTTGACTGTGCTTCATGCAACTCATGAAGGTGCTGCATTCCCTCTAATGGTGTTATAGTTGAAAGCACTGGCCACTTCTGTCAGTTCTGTACTTTAACATTTAGGTTTATGGAGAATCTACAGACGGAGGTCCAAGAAATGGAATTCCTGCAGTTCTCTAAAGGTTTGAGTTTCATGAGGAAAGAAGACTTTGCAGAGTGGCTCCTTTTTTTCACTAACACTGAAAATAAAGACATTTATTGGAAAAACGTGAGAGAGAAGTTGTCAGCAGGAGAGGTTGGTATGCCTTTTTGTTATGCTTGAGATGAATATAAAATAATAAGTTAGACATTTATATAATTAATTAAAGTGACTTCCAAATTAACCAAGACTGAGCTACTCTCTAGTATTTAAGTATAAAATCAAGTTGAGAATGTTCTCCACATACTATTTTCTTATTAAGGAACTATTGACTAAGTATCAGTATAGCAGCCATGAGTTTGGCATTTTCAGTAAAGTCAGGAATAAGACAGGAATGTCCACTATCACTGCTGTCACTTTCTCTTGTTCTGGAAATCGTGGCCAGTACAAATTAACAAGATAAAAGAGTAATTATTCTATTATTTTCCATTCAAACAACTGTAAACCTACTTTTGCCCCACCCTGTATATCAGAAGTAGCTGTCCTTTGTAAAAATACCAGGTCAGAAAATGTAGTAGATATGTGTGTGTATGTGAAATGCATGAAATGATGATTGCTAAACTATTAATAATGATTAATGTACAGTGAGATTTCAAGGGATGTTTATTTTATGTGTGGTTTTTACTATATTCTGAAAAATTATTTTGAGAAGGACATGTATTTATATGTAATTTTAAAGCTAATTTTATAGTGAGGAAAAAGATAAAATATCAAGATTCCATTTATAATTGCAATTGAAATATATAACAATTATAAATTAACTAGCTACTGAAGACCAACCATCCTCCCTCATCACCCCTAAAAGATTTCAGGGATGGAAGTCTCTAAGGGACTTCCATCTCCCTCTAAGGGGAGAATGAAAGGCTAGTGAGCCAGGACAAGTGGAATCGGGAAACTGATACAGATAGTCAAACAGCCCAAGAACCAAAAGGTTGCTGGTTCAATTCCCAGTCAGGGCATATGTCTGGGCTGTGAGCTCAATCTCCAGTTGGGGGCTTGCAGGAGGTAGCCACTTTGACATCGAAGTTTCTCTCCCTCCGCCCTCCCTTCCTCTTTCTCTAAAAATCAAATTATTAAAAAAATTTTTAGCCTGGCCAGTGTGACTCAGTGGTTGAGCATCGACCCATGAACCAGGAGGTCATGGCTCAATTCCTGATCAGGACACATACCCGTGTTTCAGGCTCAATCCCCAGTATAGGGCGTATAGGAGGCAGCCGATCAATAATTTTCCCTCATCATTAATGTTTCTTTATTTCCCTCTCTCCTCCTCTCTGAAATCAATAAAAATATTTTTAAATAATAGTAAAAATAAATTAAAAATAAAAACATTTAAATATATATTAAAAATATTTTGTTAAAGAGCAAATGGGTTACACTTCTCCCCAATCAGAGGGCAAATAGCTTAAATCACCATGCTCAGAGAGATAGAAAAGAGAAATCCAATTAGTGCCATTTGCCAGGCACACCCAAGGACAGATGAAGTTAGGGAATAAGTCTACTTTTGGTGCATCAGCAAAAAGCTGATAAAAATTATATTGAGATCCTCCCCCGAGACATCCCTTAAAGTCCCAGCCTTTAAAAACCCTTAAAACCTGATGCCCCAGCACCCACTCTCCCTCCTGGGAGCACACCTGTGCCTTTCCCTTCCCTCTTTTCTTCCCCCACAGGCATGCATCTCCTAAACTCTAAGGGACCCCAGGAGACTTGCAACCTGGGGAGCAGTGGGCAGTGGCAGCTCCTCCCAGGCTAACCCCCTAAACCTGTTCTCAAAGTCCCTTTTTCTCTGGCTCTCCAGTGAGCTAAAGCAACCCCGCCTAGGCTCTCTGTTGCTTCTATCCTAAGTCCTTCCGTCTTTCACTCACCCCAGCTTTAATAAACGTACTCTCAAAATGGAAAAAATTAATTAACTAGAAATATGTGAAAACTTCAAAGTTTTGATGGATGTGAAAGAAAATTTAACCTAATTATAGAGACATTCCCTGTGATTGCATAGAAAGTCGTGGCATTATAAATGCAGTTCTCCCTTAAATTAGTCTGTAAGTGGGATGGTCATACCAGTCAGAACAACCTGTTTGCTACAATTACAAACTAACCCTGAAATCTCTGTGGCTGACACAAGAAAGGTTTATTTTCCGACTATACCACATTTCCATCATGAGAGGTGGGAGGTCACCCACAAGGTGCTCAGGAACTCAGACTTTTCGAGGCTCTGTCATCTTGGTGTTCCACCATGTGAAAAAACAAAAACAAAAACAAAACACCACTTCTCAGAGGCTGGAGTAAGAAAAGAAAGAAGTGAGTCCTTTTCTGATAATTAAATGTTTTATCCTAGAAACATGATGACCCTTGGCTGCTGGCCAGACTGGTCACACATGACCTGATCTAACTGCAAGAAGGCACAGAAGTGTGATCCTTCTTATGTGCAGGAATTACAAGAGAACCAGCCACTGCTGAACACTATGGGTTTCGATAAAAATGCCATAATAGAGTTTATATGAAAAGCATGCTGAAGAGGCCAGGGGGGATAAGGGAAGTCTCTGTACCTTCTCCTCAATTTTGCTGTCAACCTAAACCCACTCTTTAAAAAAATAGTCTTTTTTTTTTAATAATGCCAAGATATTAAAATATATCATCAACCATTGGTAACTAAAACAGTTACAGTGAATTTGACAGACATATCAGTTGCAGAATATAAAGTCCAGAGTTATAGATAGACCCAAGTACACATGGAAATTTAGTATATGTAAACTTATATTACAAATTGCTTGAATAAAAGAATTATTAATAAATGACATTAGGACATCCACTGGCCATCTGAGAGAGTATTAAAGGTAAGTCTCTATCTCACTCATTACTCTGAAATAAATTCCAGATGGATCAAAGAATTAAATGTTAAAGAGTAAAAAGAAACTGAGTAAAAATAGAAGAAAATTTGAAAACAGTCATCTTAAAGTGGGATATACCTATCTTTCTAAACAACCCAGAAGCTTTTAGCGGGGGGGGGGAGGGGGGGGGTTTGTCAGGTGCCAGGACTAATGATCACTTAGCTGCCCAGGTATCAAAAATCATGCTTCTGAAATCTCTTGATGTCAGTTCCCCACATAGAGCAATCAAACTGCCCTACATGTGCCACTAACGACAGCTTTTTTTAAAAAAAAGAAAAACTATTAAATTATTACCTAAAAGTTAAAAATCTGCTGACTCCCCTCATTTCCCCCCCACAAAAGTTATAATGAAAATAAAAATTAACAAAATGAGGAATATTGGCATCACAATAATAGACCAATGTCTTTAATTTATAATGGAGTCTTTAAAAAATCAAGAACTTTGAATGATCTGACATTTCACCCTATTTAATATATAATGCCATAATAAATGGCAGATCAGAAATTTTGACATAGGTCCATCTACTCCAAAACCCAGTGCTATGTCCACTGACAAAACTAAGCAGAAAATTTATGAGGTGGGTCACTTAACAGGATGTATTAGTCTCCTCAGGCTGCCATAACAGAATACCACAGACTGGGTGGCTTAAAGCACAAACTTATTTTCTCACAAGTTTGGAGCCTGTAAGTCCAAGATCAAGGTTGCCAGCAGGGTTGGTGTCTGGGGAGATCTTCCTCCTCCCCACATGCAGGATGAGAGCACTCTGGTATCTCTTCTCATCAGGACATTAATAGGCATATCAGATTAGGGCCCCAGTCTTATGACTTCCCCTCTCCAAATATAGTCACATTGGGGATTATTCAACACAGGAATATTTAAGAGACAGACTCAGTCCATAACACAGGAACCCCCCACCCCCTCAAGTCTTACATTGCACAACTTCAGGCAGCCCGTTCAAAACAGCATATAGTCTGCACAATCATACCCAGTTTCCTGCCAATCTTTTGGGGTTCCTCCTAATCTCTAAAATCTATAATTTTGTTATTCTGTGTCTCAAACTTTTTAATAGACTTGCTTAGGAATATAGAAGTTCATACGCTTTATGATAGAAAAGAGGACTCACACTTTGTTCAGTTTTATAATGCAATTATAAAATTGTAATAAAAACTCCCTTTTGTTTTATTAGAGCATTAGTTTGGATGAGTTCAAATCATTTTGTCATTTTACAACCCACTTGGAAGACTTCTCTATTGCCATGCAGATGTTTAATTTAGCTCATCGCCCTGTCAGACTAGGTAAGTTATATGAATCATTTAATTTTTATCGTTTTTTCAACAAGTTATCAACCAAGGAGTCAGTTACAATAAAAGCAATTGATTGGCCTTTTACTTAATTCATTGTGGTTAATCTGAATTTAATACTCTATTTTCTTTTACTTTCTTATTTTTTCCCTGAGAAGGGGAAATGTTTAAATTACTTGTGTTTGAAAACATTGGTTAAATTAAAACAGCCGCTTATCTTACAGTTACTTTCATGGCACTTCTCAGCCAAATTTATTATTTGAATAAATAATAAATAAATGAATGAATTCTTGATGTCTGTTTTTTGTTTTTTGTTTTTGTTGTTTTAAACATATTTTTATTGATTTCAGAGAGGAAGTGAGAGGGGGCTAGAGAGAGAAATATCAATGATGAGAAAGAATCATTGATCGGCTGTCTCCTGCACGCACCCTACTACACGGGTCGAGCCCGAAACCCAGGCATGTGCCCTGACTGGGAATCTAACTGTAACCTCCTGGTTCATATGTCAATGCTCAGCCACTGAGCCACACCACCAGGGCTTATTTTTGTATGTTATTTACTTCCCATATAGCAAATATTTAGATTATTTTTACTTCTCAAATTATGAAAAATTACTCCTAGCTGGTTTGGCTCAGTGGCTAGAGTGTCGGCCTGTGGACCGAAGGGTCCCAGTTTGATTGTGGTCGAGGACACATGCCCAGTTTGTGGGCCCAATCCCCAGTAGGGGACATGCAGGAGGCAGCCGATCAATAATTCTCTCTCATCATTGATGTTTCTCTCTCTCTCCCTTTCCCTTCCTCCCTGAAATCAATAAAAATACTTTTTTAATATGAAAAGTTAGATTAATTTTACTTACACTGTTTCACATGGTAAATGAGTTGTTTTATGTTTGTTGTTTTTTTAGCAGAGTTTAAGAGAGCTGTGAAAGTAGCTACAGGACAGGAGCTCTCAAACAATATTTTGGACACTGTCTTCAAGATCTTTGATTTGGATGGTGATGAATGTCTTAGTCATGGAGAGTTTCTTGGAGTGTTAAAAAACAGGATGCACCGAGGTTTATGGGTAACAGATTTTGAGTTTTTAAATGGATGATGTTAAATGTAGAATTTGAGGAAATGTATAATCTCTAGTAGAGTTTTCATCATTTATAAAGAGATAACTTCTCCAAATGGGATTTAATGTTTTTTATTTTTTGCCTTTTTTAAAAATCTGAATCTAATCAGAAACCACTATTCAGAAATCATAGCCTAGAATTTACTTCAGGCTTTGCAGTTAGACACACCTAGATTCAAATCTCATCTCTATCACCTGTTTACTGCCAAATCTTACAAAACCACTTAATTTTTCTGAGTCTCAAAGTCCTCATTTGTACAATGAGGAAACTAATAGAATCTACCAGAAAGAATTACAATAAGAATTAAGTGTAAAATACTTAGTACAGTGGCTGAGACACTTGTAGTAGAAGTTAGCTAATTATATCATTACTAGGGGCCCGGTGCATGAAATTCGTACACTGGGTGGGGGTGGGGGGGAGTGTCCCTCAGCCCAGCCTGCCCCCTCTCACATACTGGGAGCCCTCAGATGTTGACCCTCATCAC